CCCTTCCTCAGTTGCATTATGGGGCTGAAGAGATTGACCAACTTGTCTCTGGGACTAAGAAGTCTAAGGAATAGACAACAAGCAACTACCAAGGATCATCTTTATTGCTTAAGAATGAAGCCACATAGAAAAAAGAGAACACAAGAGGCAAGAAAAGAGACTGATGACATTTTTTTTTTTGTCTTCTGGATTCTATACACACCAGAAGCAAACTTCTTTCCTTTGGACTTTCCAGATACACATCCTTGAATATGTGTATAATGTAGTTTGACTTGATTTTTGTTACAACCAAGCAGTTCCAGTATCTCCTCAGTGGCCAGGAAAGCAGACAATCAGCAGACATGAGTTATCCACCCAGAGCCATGAGGAGGGAAGGGCCCAGAGTGGAAAGACTATTATAGTCAAGTGGACAGGGTAAGCTGTCGTCAAAGTTCCAGAGACTGTGTTGTCTTCTGGCAGCATATATGTATCTGATTCTCTTCCCTTGGTCCCAAGGAGAAGTCCACACAAACATATTCAGTAAGGGGAGTAAGTTGATCCCACACCATGACAATTTCCTCAGGAAGGAAGAAGGACCCAATTCCCTATATCCCATTTCCAATATCACATTCCCATTATTCTGAAAACTGCATCTTATTTTTAACCTTCAGAGAGATAGGAATTTAAATACTTGATACCTTATGAAATACCCAACCATGTCATTTCCCTTTAGCCTATATAATCATATGTTTTATTTCTAGTCTCTTATTCTCTACTGCTAACATCTGCCCATAAACACAACCTCAGCACTTTAAATCTCATCTGTTCCTGCTGCCTGTTCTTCACCTGAAGTCATAATCCCCTGTTTGTCACATCATAATCACTCCCCCAACAGAGCACTATTGCTTCAGGTGGGGAATAAAGCAGCAGGAGCAGATGAACTCCTAGAAACAAAGCTCCTAATTTTTTACAGCAAGGGACATCCCTCACTAAGCCTCCTTGGCTTTACAGATTATACTCTCCTGGAGTCCTACAGAATTACACACGAATGCTAGAAAAGCACCCATGTAAAATATGCTGGTTTGTCATACGGCAAAACCAAACATGGGACGGTGGGGCAGGGAAAAAGCAACTGCCTCTCAGGTGTCACTCAAAATAATTGTTAGCTTCTACTAACAGGGCAACATTTGCTGGAAAGAATACTGTATCTCCAGAGCCATCCTTATTAAGCCAAATGTAACAAGAATTTGCACCAGACAGTGGCTGTGGAAGGCACTAATGAAAGTCTCCCTGACCTGGAGACATGCCAGCCCATGGAGGATGAACAGTTTGTCTCCAGTCTCAGATAAGCTCTTTCACAGTCTCTGATAGTGCACAGAGTCTCATCATCTTCTCACTATCACTGTTTTCCTTTCCTCCCTTACCTTTTGTCCAAAGCTCCTCCTTACCCCTGAGAAGGAGAGGCCGGGGGTGAGGGGAGACAACAAGACTCGTTAATCTCCGGAGAGAGAAAAATCAAAACATCTCCTCCAGTTGTTAAAGTACATTTTCTATTTTGTTGATATTAGAAATGGAACGGACCCTCAGCAGAGGGGATAAGGATGATCACAATGCTTGTTGCTCAATTTAAAGCTTAAGAAGGGCTCTTTGTGCATCTATACCTAGGAGCCGGCAACAGGCTCTTCACATCTTCTCAGACTTTAAATGCTGATCAAGAAATGTTAATTCTATAGTACTATCCTTGGAAAGAACTGACACAAACTTACCTGAAACTTATCTGAAATTTTCCTGGGAGGCTCCATGCTGGATTCAGCTTTTATTATTTTTTTTAACCCTAAAGGTGCCTGCCCAAAGTAAGTACTTAAAAGATATATTCTGCTGAACCATTGGAAGAAAAGATTGGTTAGCACAGTGGTAAGATAACCAAGTTAAGAGCTCAACTAGCCAGCCTAGAAACACATGGTGACAGGAAGGTGATGGTGAGAGAGCAGATGCATATGTGAGATTCTATCACCACTTCAGGAAAAGTAGCTTATGAGCCAGTAGCATTTTCTTCTATATAAAGGGTACCTATTGATTTTTAGTATAATCTATACCTTTCTTTCAAAAGTTTACTAGATGTAGCACGACAACAGCCTCAAATGTATTTCTTTTTATTATCAAGACCATCAAGTGAGAACCTACTGAGATGCACTAGGGATGGGACTGTATTCTTGCTGGGCTGGACATAGCAACAGTGTGCATCCGTGTAAGCATCAAGAGGGGACAGAATGCTTACCATTGTCTTCATGCTAACTAGTGTAGAAAACATGCTCAACAAGAGTTAGCTGAAAACAATGCATGAATAATAAATAAAACAATTTTAAGACCTCTGAGAAATTGCTAGAAATTAAATGTATACATTTGTTTACAGCTTATCTCCCTACTAGACCATAATTCCACAAAAGCAGGGACTTCATCTGACTTAATGTTTCGTTCCTAATAAATAGTACCTAACTCAATAACTTATTTTTGGAATGAATGAATAAATGTATGAATAAAACATATTTTTTTAGTTGGAAAAACTAAACTTTATTTATTCAACTTTGATTTCTCTGAATACAATGCACCTATCCACAGAAGTACAAATGGATAAATTTATGAAATAGGATAAATCCATGAGTACACAAATCTTTAATGAAAAGGGCTCTTCTTTTTTTTCTTTCCAATAGTGCCTGGTTAAATCTTGTGCCATAACAACTGTTCAGAGTATGGTTATGGATCAAGGAAATTAAAAAAATTATTAGTGTTAAAATAAAGGTTATTTTAATTTTTCTCTTCTATTGGTAAAAAGGTCATATAAGGTATGTATTTTATAAAATTACATATATAGCAAAATGAGTGGAAAATTTAGAATGGTATAGACTTTCAGGGAAGTCGTAATTCTTAAGAAGGGTTAATATGTAAAAATAAGAATCCTTGTTTTTTTGAAAGTAGTAGACAGATTAGAAACCAAAAGAATGAGAGAGAGAGAAAGAGAGGGAGAGATCAGTTTTACTTTTGCTTTTAAAAGAATCAAAGTAAAACAAACATGTTTGTAATAGCTCTGCAACAAAATTCAAGATGTATACATGTAAATGAGAAAACATCAGATTACTGGTCTATTTATAAACCAATATTTTTCTATAGTCAATTTTAAATGATAATCTATCTAATTTTACCTGGCACAGTACTTTAGACCTAATTTATCACTCTGAAGGAGTATACACAAGGTAAAAGAAAACCCCAGAACAGTATTTCATACAAGGCTTTGACTTCTCATGCTTTAACTTGTAAATAAACTTGTAATAATTCAGTACTACATTAAAATGCTTAAAATGCATAGAATAAATTAACTTCTTTATATGCTGATAAGAAAATGCTTAACAACAACACTGATGTTACATAGAGTCAGCTAAACTGATCATTTAGAGATCAGTTAAGTATCACCTTTGGGTTATACTTTAATAAAATAGTTACTTCCGGACCCGGTAACACAGAGAACTAGATGGGACCCATGAATAGGAAGTCCCCTTTCTGAACTTGTATGCAGGTGCTATGACTCTGGCCATTTTTATGCAATGTCTTTGCAAGCCATGGTCAATTCAGTCTAACACAGTTCCCAGAATTAAGGGAGTCAAGAACCTGCAACTCAGTTTAGATCATATGTAGGCCTTTGGCTCCTCTTTCCGTACATGAAAAACTTGCTACTTTTACATATTGAAGTGTAATTCACTAATTTTTTTTTGATTTTTTATTTTATTTATTTGTTAGAGAGAGAGAGAGAGAGAGAGAGAGAGAGCATGAGCACAGGCAGACAGAGTGGTAGGCAGAGGGAGAAGCAGGCTCCCCGCTGAGCAAGGAGCCCGATGTGGGACTCGATCCCAGGACGCTGGGATCATGACCTGAGCCGAAGGCAGCTGCTTAACCAACTGAGCCACCCAGGTGTCCCTGTAATTCACTAATTTGAGGCCATTTTCCTAAACCAACTTTCTTTAGCCCCTGCTAGAGAATATTTATGAGATCTCCCATTTCAAAATTATCAACAACCTGATAATACCTTCAACTCCATTCTCCAGCTCATTAATAAGAATATTAAATACTAAGACTTAGACTTTTTGCAGGCCTGTCTTCAACATCACTCCCCAACTCGATGTAAGACCATCCAATGGACTTTTCTTGGCCAAATCTTTGTCCATTTCTGGAATAAAGACGTGTAAACCAATATACTGTGATTTTTTTCGACCTAAAAAAACACACTATGCAGACCTAAATATCTACATATAACAGATGTGTACAATGCACATTTAGGTTTGTATACAACCTTTAAAATTATCACATCACAATGGAGAAGAGGAATTAATTCACTGTAGAGTGCTTTATGTTTTCTGTGATCAGTTATCACATGTATGCCCTTCAAGGCTTAATTTTAATGCTTCAGATGTTGAAAGAAATAATAATCTGTAACAAGATTCCATATTGGCACACACACAAAAACACATGTCCATGTATACATGTGAGATTTTTAAAAATCACACTACATCTACAATGACAACTAATGTCTCACATAAAAATAATAAAAGCTTAATATTTGACTTTCAAGTAAAAGTACTCTGATTCCATATGTGAGACAAACATATCCAACATGAATTTTTCTAACTATTCTTTTTAACATGTAAAGCATTTTATAGACAATATTTCTTTTGTTTCTTTCTCATAAGGCTTAGATTATGGCTAATATCTCATGACAGATATTAAAGCATTTTTTCAGCCACTTATTCTATAAAATATTAATTGCAAGCCTGTGCATGTGCTGTATATATAGGGATTAGGTAACTGAGTTCCTGCTCAGTTCTAAATCAATAAAAGATAACATGCACAGCATCAATCATCATTCACTCTTCCTTTAGTACATAATAACTGCGAGTGGAAGATTTTTAAAAATATATATTTAAGCACTCATGGAGATATTACAAGTGAGAAGGGATGTAAGTGATACTTACCTAGGAAGGACAGGTTTTTCTCCAGAAGCATGTCTCTTAGCAGGACTTCATGCTCATGACCAATGGCACTGAGAAGTTTTAGTTAAGGAAGGTAACACAGGTGGAATTATACAATTAAAAATACGCTAATACCAGGTCTCTACTTTTAGATGGAACGGAAAATAGAGTAATCATAGCAACTATTGCCACTGTTAGCCCACATCTCTGAGGAATGAGATTTCATGCATGCCTCATTTAAATGATTCATTGGAATTTTCCTATTTCTGTAATGTTTACATGCATTTGGGCAACTAAAGATTTGTAAAGGGATGTGTACCTTATATTCGTTTGAAAGGAGGGGGAGTCATTTTAAACGTCCTTTGTACTATATTAAAATCCCTCAATTCAACTAGTACATTTATTAAGCACTAACTAAGAGCAGCAAAGAATACCAGCCAGGCTTTGCCTTAAAGGAGTTTCCAGTCTTCCAGAGTTCTTTAAATCGTCTAAGAATCCGTACTTGTTCCAGAGCCAGCATTTCTAGATTCCGTCCCACTTGCAGCCTTCGGTTGGTGATGCTCTGTGATGTGGGAAGCCAAATAGCTGACTTGCTGAGAATTCCAGGCACCCTACAGGAAAATACTGCATGTTGCAAAGGACTGTGTGTTGGGCGTGTGGGTGCAGAGGACGCTTCAAGTCTTCCTCGGGCACACACATTGTCCTATGGGTAGAAATAGATATGTACAGGAACATGTAAAGTCTTGGCATGATTACTATGAGTTATGTACTGGGTTAAGTACTTTATGTATGTAATTTCCTCCGTAGTTATTATCATCCTTATTTTACAGATGAGGAAACCAAGGCTTAGAAAGGAATGCATACACAGTCATATGGTTCAAGTGTGCCAAGCAGAGGACTGGAACACAACAAAGCCTTTTGTATGACCTCCATACAACTTCCTGAAAAGTACTAAATTTAATTATGCAAAAATAATAATTTTAATAATGTATTTATTAAATAATAAATTTAATAATTAAAAAAATAATAATTGCTACTAGCTGATATTTCTTAAATACTGCACCACTAAGCCTTGGTGTTAAACACTTGGGGTTTAATTTTTTTTTATAAGTCCTCAATAAACTTTGGTTATTTTATTGTTATAGTTTCACAGATTCATTACATTCTGCTGCTCACCCCATGCACATGCCATTTGTTTCATTACCGTCTTAGTTACTGACAACTCCATGCTCTTCAAACCAGAATGCAGGAGTCCTCGACGCCTACTTTGCTCCCACACTCCTTTCAATACATGGGCAACTCTTGTTGGTGTCAACTTACAACTAAATGCAACAGTCCCCAAATTTTTACTACTTCCTCTGCTACCATCCCAGCCTATCATTTCTTTTTTTTAATTTTTAAACAATTGTCATCCCAGTATAGTTAAAATACTTAGTGATATATTAGGTTCATGTGTACAATATGGTGATCCAACACTTCCATACATCACCCAGTGGTCATCACCAGTGCACTCCACGATCCCCATCACCTATTTCACCCATCCTCCCACCCACCTCCCTTCTGGTAGCCATTAGTTTGTTCTCTATAGTCAAGAGTCTTGTTTCTTGGTTTGTCTCTTTTTTTCCTTTGCTCTTTTGTTTCTTAAATTTCATATATGAATGAAATATGGTATTTGTCTCTGACTGGCTTATTTCACTTAGCATTATACTCTCTAGATCCATCCATATCATTGTAAATGGCAATATTTCATTCTTTTTATGGCTGAATAATATTCCATTGTGTGTATGTATGTGTGTGTACATACACTACATCTTATTCCTCCATCTATCAATGGACACTTGGGCTACGTCCATATCTTGGCTATTGTAAATAATGCTACATAAACATAGGGGTGTAAGTATCCCTTTGAATTAATGTTTCTGTATTTTGGGGGTAAAGACTCAGTAGTGTGAACACTGGATCATAGGGTGGTCCTATTTTTAACTTTTTGAGAAACCTCCATACTGTCTTCCACTACAACAGTTTCATTCCCATCAACAGGGCAAGAGGGTTCCTTTTTCTCCACATCCTCGCCAACATCTATTTCTTGTGTTGTGGATTTTAGCCATTCTGACAGATGTGAAATGACATCTCATTGTAGTTTTGATTTGCATTTCCACGTGGGGTGCCATCTTATTTAATCTTCACCACCACCACATGAATAGGTACTATTATTAGTCCCATTTTTATAATCACAGAAAGCAAGGTTCAAGAAGGCTAAGGAACTTGCTGAAGGTGCCATGGCTGGTAAATAATTACATCAGGAATAGGACTGGGAATTCTGCTCTATTTTCCAAAAGGATGAGACTGCACAAAGTTTGAAAAAGAGCATTATCCTATGCTGGTACTCGATTCTGTCAAAAGCATTTGATATTATTTATCCAATTCCTCACTGGATAATGTCAACCTGGTCGTGTAACTCCTCAGCTTACCAGAGACTCTAATTCTGATCATGCATTCCAAGAGGGCAATTTAAATGAAACAAAATGTATGCATTATTTGTTTAAAAAATTCCTAGAGCACTATCTGCCCTTTATCATACAGGTGAATATCATTTAAATAATAATTTGAGAGATGTGGCCACTCATGTCCACTTGGGGCTCAAAATGAGCCCCAAGTCTTCATCATTGTAATTTCTCCTTCTGTTGTCTCCTCCCCTCACCATGCACATGGCTGTGTTTATTTAATTTCTAATTGGAAACAGAATAAAGGAACAAAACTTTTCAAATCACAAAATTTCATATATTTGTAGAGTCCACTGAAGACATCTGATGAATACGTCTCAACGGTCTCTCATTATTAGGGGCAACCCACATGTTAGAACTAAATTATTTACTTCTAATCCACATAAATGTGCTCTCACTTTTATTGTTGTAAATTATTTACATCTAAAATGTTGAATCATGAAACTGAGGTTACTGATGGTACAGAAATGAAACCCACAGCATTTTAAGCTTCCTGCATCATCATCTTTCCTTGCTACTCTGTTTAGGTCTTTGTGTAATAGATGTGTCCTAGAGTCACACTTGGGAAAGTTGAGGTGGCTGCTTTCTCACACCTTTTGTGTCAGTGGCTCTATTTGTGGAAGGAGGGGTGTGGATGGACATGGCTATGCAGGAAAAAATGTTGTAGACACCAAAAGAAAAAGAAAGCACAATGACAATTTATATTCGCTTAGCTACTGTGCTTTCCATGGTGTCTTATTTGTAAATGACCAATTTCCTTTATTCTACTTACACAAATGTCTACATGTAACATTTTCATAATGGAGTAAAAAGATTTTTGCACCTATTCTATTTACTAAATGTGTACTTTCTTTCTTACAAAATGATGTAATTTACCGACAGTAAGCCATGTAAACATTACTAAATTATCAGAACAACACACAAATAGCATTTTCACTCACATGGAAAACTACTAATTTTTATTCAGTGTGAAATAAAATAATTCCTGTGGATCCATCTAGGAAACATCTATGCAAGTATATTTACATTATATGAAACTACTACTACCTCAGTGCAAAAATAAAATTGGTTCTCTATAAATTTCCCAGCTTGTTTTATTCTGCATGGTAAAAGCAATCACCAATTTGAAATTTGGGAAAGACATACTTCTTGATTATTCTTTGCTTGATATAAACATATATAAAATACAAGGTTTAGAACACAAAGCTTATAAAAACAGTAATTTTACCCGCAATAGGCATAATGGAACTGCAAAATTATAATCTAGTCAGTGAATGCAATTTATAGACATACATCATTAGCTTTATCAATTGAAATCATGTACTACATTAAATTCTACCGGCAATAACACAGCCAAAAAAGGAAAATGAATGATGGCAAAAATGTAAAGAAAATACTCTGAACAGAATTTATAATGCTCTGTAAGCAGAAAACACTTAGACTTTGTCTATAATAATACCTATTATTGATGTATGGCAGTGACCATGGGGCAAAACTTGTAAATAACCTCACAAGCCATTTTCTTAGCCAGCAATACAGCAATCTAGTTTCCCGTAAGCATCTCAACTATTACTGAAAAATAGCCTCCCGGCATTTACAAAGCAGTTGACTTCATACTTTAGTCCATGCATATATAATTAGATAGTTATATTTAAAATCAATATGCAATCCTTCAAAAGACATTATGCTTTTAAAACCTTAACTTTAAATTGATTTTTAACTATTTTATGTGCTTTAAAATTAACATGTAATTCCGCCCCAGATACTCTGAGATGGTGTTAGTTGTTATACAAATGTGCTAAACTTTATCACTGTAGCAACATGAGGTTGGCACTCCTACAATTTCTAACGCTATCATTAATTTTATACTGAAAATAGAAGCACGGTTTCAATTTGGTTTAATAAAAAGGCAAGCTTATGACAGTGCTGTGATTTTATTAATTTAAACTACATTGGGGGGAACAGACTTGAAGGATAAATATGTAAAGGGCTTTAACTTAGGTAGTGAATATTCTTATAAGAGGGCTCTGCTAAGAGATTATTTTTTCAAAGGTTAACTTTATAAAAAAGAAAATGAGTGAGTTTCCTTACAAAAATTTCAGACTCTAAGCCTTTGTGAAAACAAGGTGGGATAAACACACACACACACACACACACACACACACACACACACACACTTGACTTTCAGCAAAAAAGGCTTTTAACAGAAAGCTTCCAGATTGGTAGCCCTGAGTGTGAAATGGGTCACAGTGCTACCCACACTCACAAAACGTCTATCAGGAAGGCTGTTATAGTATTAAGAAATGCAAGACTCGTGGACTCAGGTGGAAGATAATTTCCATTAAAAAAATTAATAGTTATTGGCCCTTTAAATAGCATTTTTCACCCAGGATTATCAAATTTCTTAGTATTGCCATAATACTACTAAATGTATGAATGAAGCACATCCTCCTTCATAAAGTAGTGACTGCTCAAATCCTGTTTCAAGAAAGAAGCATTAACTCTTTGGTAATCTCAATGTCTTTAATGAAGAATGACTGGACATCTGTTTTCATAGCCTTAAATTCAGTCCAGAGGGAAAAATTAGCTTGGTTTCTCTAAAATTGTTTATTAGGGATCCAAATGGCAGTGTGGATTGTAATCAGCACTTAAGCAACAAGAATCTACTGCCCTTTCTGATGCGATGGTCGGCGTGGCATTTTAATCACGTTCATCCTTGAACTCCAGGCTCTAAATTTATTCTAGGAAACCCAACTGAATTTGGCTCATTTTAAATACAGATTTCTCTCTCTCTCTTTTTTTTTTAATGTTCATTGAATTGGTGAGCTACACTCACAGACAGTAAGTTATGTGCCCAATGACTGTACCTTTAAACTCTCTCAAACTCCGGCAGTTTGAGCTAAGCCTGTGCACAGAACAGCCAAGCCGACAGCCTCCCGTGGCCCATCCGATTTTCCTTAAGCTGAAGGAAGGGATGGTCTGCAGTGACCCTCCAGCTGACTGAATGTAAAGTAGGAGCGTATGAAATGTGTTTTGTGAAGCAGAACTTTATGTCAGGTTAAAGCTAGACACATTTTCTCCACTGAGTCTGAGCTCGTCAATTGTGCACCTAAAATTTTATGGGAAAGGATACTGTTTGATGCAGTCCACCAGTGGTCCATAACAGCAGTCGTTCACGATGCACTGCAGACAAAACAGAGAAGGGGTCTGGAGTGACTACAAAACGGCTCCATAAACTACTGTCCTAAAAGCAGTAATTACTTTTCTTTAGAAAACAAAAACAAAAACAAAAAGCTATCAAAAGGCTGTTAAGATTTAATCACAGAAAACAAAAATCACATGCTTTTGATTCACTATAAAAGCAAGCTATTAAAAAGTGAAATGCTCTTCTCGCAAATATTGCATTGCCGTTTATGGTGCACCCTGACCTCAGTGATAGTTTATGATGACAGTAATTAAATGAGGTTTAAAATCCTTTACTCTGCTAGGCAGATAGCACTGCCACCGAAAATAGACAGCTGTGATTAATACCTGATAGACCTGATTTGCTAGAACTCCATCTGGAATCTGAGAAGGGTCCCGTAGCATACTGTTTATAACAGACTTGGAAGCTGTAGAAGAGAAGAGATGAACTGTTAACAGTCAACATACTTTTAGGGCAACATGAGGAGTGACATATACCTATATGTACACAAACCACGAAAAGGAAAACATTACCGATACTAATAATTTTTTCCTTTTTTTTTAATCTAAGAGAAGCTTTTAATTAGACCATTTGCCAAGTTTATAAGCCACACTGCCAGCTTTGAAGATGACCTAATTTTTCCAAGGTAAATTAACAAGTACAGACCTAAAGCATATGTCTCTTTGCAGATAAATTAGCTTTGGAAAAGCCTGCTTGGGGAAAAATGACACTGCAAGAACAATCAGAAAAGAAGTATTTACCTTGTGTGTTTAAGCATTTTATAACCAAGCATATGTATCTGGAGAGCTTAGTGAAAGCAGGTCAGACTTCAATGACGTTGATAAAAATAACTTTTAGCCAAGAAAGCATCTCTGAATTCTAAACCTTTCTAAAATAATTCTCAGCAACTGCCATAAAAAGCTGCATCCATTTCACAGATAAGGAGAGTAGGTAAAGTTGATTAACCAGCGAGGGAATCTTAAGCAAGAAAAAAAAAATTATTTATATATGAATTTTTGTCCTCAAATATGCTTCCTTGTAGCCCATTGTAAATTAAATAGATCTTACCCCAGGAAAACCTATAGAAGCAGAGGTTAGGGGAGGCATCTAATGAAGAATGCTGTATCAGATCACACACTTAGCTGGCCTTGCTGTTTTCTGTAGGCATGTGGAAGCCAAGGTGACCAGAACTCCTCTTCCTTTGCACGGGAGGAAGACAAGTCTCTCAATTAAAGCTAAGTCTAGTGCTGCCTAGGATTCAATTCTTCCAAGTCCTCCAAGAGAATCATTCTCAAACATTCAGCAAAATGGCTTAGGGTTTATCCACACAAACACAAACTAAAGTACCTATTGGATAATTACCTAGTTAACGGAATGAACACAGACCATGGATCAACTTCATTCATGTTGAGGTGATTTTTTTTTTTTTTTAATATTATTATGTTCTTTATCAAGTTCGGTACCATAAGATCACTGACAGATATGATAAATGTTAGCAAATACTGTGTAAAGAAATAGGGAAATTACATCTTTTTCACTTAAGCACAGTACTGAATCCACAAAGAAAAAATGCAGTATACTTACTTTAATTATTTCCTATTCTTTAATTATTTCCTATTCTTTAATTATTTCCTATTCTTTAATTATTTCCTATTCTGCATGAGTATAACCACACTTACGTACTTAGCTGTTTGTAGCCATGTGTTTGTTCTGCTAGTGTGGAAGCCATATCTGGGATCCCAAAAAGAACATCCTTGCGAAAGAAATACTTTCCAGGCCTAGGTCTACAACCAGCTTTGCAACCAGGGCAAATTTATGGAAGATGGCACCTCTCAGATTCACCACCTTCTTCTGTAGAAAATGACCATATTATCTGAGCAGACTACCTATAACGGTTCTTGTGTGAGTCTCTACAGAAAACAGCTACAACAGCTATTTTGTTATTGATTTTGTTAAAGTTTAAGTAATAGTAAGAACCAAACTATAAGATAACTCACTGCAAATCACAGATCAAAGGCTTTTTTTTTTTTTTTTTTTAAGATTTTAAGTACTCTCTAAACCCAGTGTGGGGCTCAAATTCATGACCCTGAGATCAAGAGTTGCACACTCTGCTGACTGAGCCAGCCAGGCACTCCCAAAGGCTCTTTGTTTATTTTTTATTTTATTTTTTTTATGATTTTATTTTATTTGAAAGAGAAAGAGAGAGAGCACAGAGGGAGAAGACTACCCATTGAGCAGAGAGCCCGATGCGATTGGGCTTGATCCCAGGACCCTGAGATCATGACCTGAGCTGAAGGCAGACGCTCAACCTACTGAGAATTACCCACGTGCCCCCCACGCAAAGGCTCTTTTTAAAATAGAGGAAGGACAATACTCTAGGAACGTAAGAAGATGGGATCACTTATTTTGTGAGGAAAGAAAAAGAAATATTACAGAAAAAAGAAACGAATGACATCTTAATTTTCCTCACAATATAAATTTTTGAATACTGTGTTTCAGAACTAAGAATCACAGCCAACACACTTTTTAAAAAAATAATCTGAATATATTGAATAGAACACTATTCAAATCAGAGAAGCTTGTGAGAACAAGTCAATTACTTAAAATGGAAGAGTAAAAACTATATATTGAATCCAAATTCATTTTAAACTCAACAAAATATTTTTTCCTTTCTTGCAACCTGCCATTTTCTAGAGCAAGAAAATGATAATAAATAGGGATTTGTGGCCTTGGCTACAGACCCAGGATGTGCATGCCTTCTGTTTGTGGGTTTTAGGACTTCGGCTTCACAGAAGTATGCCTATGTCTCAGATCAAGCCAGAGTGCAAACTTAATTTTACACATATATTCTGAAGCTAAAAGCTGCCAAAGGGATGAACAGTATCAACCAGGTAAGGAAAAGCAGCTGGACAATCTTGGGATGGCTAGGAATAAGAAGGGCTCAAGAAAGCTGGTATCCCTCATAAGTAAGATGTCTCTTCGCCAGCTACTACCTATGGCCAACTTGCATCCATCTTTTTTGACCATATGCGGACAGGAGACTTATTCTCCCTAACCTTTGCTAGATGCATTCCATCCTTTTGATTTCAAGGTTTTCGTAACTATTGCACTGCTTCAACTGTTGGAATGTCAACTTTCTACCAAGCAGGAACGCACCAGTCACTTGGAGCTGCGTGCACAAGGATGGGGAGAACTGGTCCCTGTTAAAGCATGTTATGGAGGAGAGGCAATAGGCAATGCCTGGACCAAAGCATAATGCCTATGATTATGATCTGCTTTCTGTGAAATATTTCAAGAGCCTAAAGTAATAAAATCCATGCCCCTACCACTCTAACTTAATGTCTGTATCTTCAATTAAATTTACTTTAGATAGTCTAATATTAATTTGTGTAAACTTTTTAAATCAGTCTTGCTAGGGGTTGGTTCATTTTACTAGTATTTTTAAGGAATTAAATTTTGGTTTTGTTTTTCTCTACTGCTTCGTTCCTTCCAATTTCATTTAATTTATCCTTTTGTCAGCATTCTGGTTTTCCACTTCAAGTTTGTTGTATTATTCTTTTATAAACTTACTATCTTTATTACTTAAATTTTCAATCATTTATTTCAATATATATTTTTTAAGGCTATAATTTTTCCTCTAAATTCTGCTTTAGCTATATGCCACAAGTGTTCTCATTTACTTATAAATAGTTTATAGTTTCCATTATGATTTAATCTTTGATCCATAAATTATTTAAAAATTTATTTCTAATTTTTAATTTGATCATATTGGTCAAAGTGTGTGATGCTTATATTAATTTGAGGGTATCTATTTGACTTTCATTGGTGTTTTCATATGCAATCAACTTTTTTTTTTTTTTTTTAAGATTTTTTATTTATTTATTTGTCAGAGAGATAGAGAGGGTACAGGCAGGCAGAGTGGCAAGCAGAGGCAGAGGGAGAAGCAGGCTCCCTGCGGAGCAAGGAGCCCGATGTGGGACTCGATCCCAGGACCCTGAGATCACGACCTGAGCCGAAGGCAGCCGCCCAACCGACTGAGCCACCCAGGCATCCCCTGCAATCAACTTTTATAAATACTTTACATGTCTTAAAAATACTAAATCTCCTATTTTTGAGGTATGGGATTCAGGTACGTCTATTAGGTCAAGACTTTTAATTGGATTATTAAAATATTCTATATTCTTTTTTTTAAAGATTTATTTATTTGACAGAGAGAAAGAAAGCAAGAGAGAGAGGGAGGGAAGGGGTAGAGGAAAAGGGAGAATCTCAAGCAGACGCCCCACTGAGCATGGAGTCCGACATAGGGCTTGATCTCATGACCCTGAGATCATGACTGAGCCAAAATCAAGAGTTGGATGCTCAATTGACAGAGCCACCCAGGTGCCCCAAATCTTCTGTATTCTTATCAATTTTTAATTAATTTTAAATGAACCCATATCCAATCTAATCATATCTCCTTTGTAACTCTGAGCACAGTTGACCCTTTATAACATGGGGGGTTAGGGGCACCAATCCCCTGGGTGGTCAACAATACCACATATAAATTTTGACTTCCTAAAATTTAGCTACTAACAGCCTTCTGTTGACAGGAAGCCTTAATGAAAACATAAACAGTCAATTAATACATATTTTATATGTTATATGTTATTATATACTATATTCTTACAATAAAGCTAAAGAAAAGAAAATGTTATTAAGAAAATCATAAGGAAGAGAAAATACTCTCCTGTGTTTATAAAAATAGTACTGCGCTGTATGTGTATGTATAAGAAAAATCCACATATAAGTGGACCCATGCAGTTTAGACCCATGTTGTTCAAGGGCAAGCTACCTAAGAAATTTAGAATGCACTCCCTCTAATCAGGAAACCCCCTCTTTCCCATCAGCCTCCATGTTATTCTGTCTATTATTTTTGTTCAACCACCCTGTTTGTAAACATGATTTCTTAGTTTCTATGATGGTTAATTTTATGTCAACTTGGCTGGGCCACAAGGTACCCAGACTTTTGACCAAACATTGTTCTGGATACGTCTGTGAGGGTGTTTCTGGATAAGATTCACATTTGAATTGGAGTAAGATAGACTGCTCTCACAAATATGGATGGGTCTCATTTAATCAGATGAAGATCTGACTAGAACATAAAACACTGAGTAGAAGACTAGTTTCCCTGCTTGACTGCCTTCAATCTGGAATATCCTCTGGACTCAAACTAAAATATTGGCTCCTCCTGGATCTCAAGCCTGTAGACCTTTCGACTGGACCTATATCACTGGCTCTTTTGAGTCTCTAGCTTGCCCACTGTAGCGCTTGGGACTTTCAACCTCTATAATCATGTGAGCGTATTACTTATAATAAATCTCTTCCTCCCCATACACACACACGCGCGCACACACACACACCCACACACACACACAACTGGCTTTGCAC